TCTACAGGGACGCGCATTAAAATATATTACACATCTTATTTGGTTCTGTTTTTCGCCAGGATCCTCCCGGAACTCCCTTTCCCTGTTCCGGATGGGAGAGCCGCCCATATCACATAGAAACAGATTTCCGGAGGATGAGGCCCAGAAATCAGGATTTTAAACAGATTCCCAGGTGATTCTAATGTGCAGCCAAGGCTGAGAACCACTGTGTTAGCTGGTATGCTGGCTTTGGGTTTGTCCCTTTCCTATTTCTCCAGCGAACAGAAAGAGTTATTTAGAAGGTACACAGCTTTACCCGTCCAGGAACTGTTTGGCATTATGATGAGGTGCATTCAAAGCTGACAGTCCCCCGCCACGGCTGACCCCCTCGCGCCTAATCAGACCTTCCGTTCTGTTTGCAGAGAGCTGATCAGCTTCCGTGGAATTTGCTGATGCCCCAGGAGAGCTTCGCCTGAAGATGGAAACACTGGAGTCGGAGCTGACCTGCCCTATCTGTCTGGAGCTCTTCGAGGACCCCCTCCTGCTGCCCTGCGCCCACAGCCTCTGCTTCAACTGCGCCCACCGGATCCTGGTGTCCCACTGCGCCACCAACGAGTCCGTGGAGTCCATCACCGCCTTCCAGTGCCCCACGTGCCGGCATGTCATCACGCTCAGCCAGCGAGGTCTAGACGGGCTGAAGCGGAACGTCACCCTGCAGAACATCATCGACAGGTTCCAGAAAGCCTCGGTGAGCGGGCCCAACTCCCCCAGCGAGACCCGCCGGGAGCGGGCCTTCGACGCCAACGCCATGACCTCCGCCGAGAAGGTCCTCTGTCAGTTCTGTGACCAGGAGCCTGCCCAGGATGCCGTGAAGACCTGTGTCACTTGCGAGGTGTCCTACTGTGATGAGTGCCTGAAAGCCACTCACCCAAACAAGAAGCCCTTCACAGGCCACCGTCTGATTGAGCCAATTCCGGACTCGCACATCCGGGGGCTGATGTGCCTGGAGCACGAGGATGAGAAGGTGAATATGTACTGTGTGACCGATGACCAGTTAATCTGTGCCTTGTGTAAACTGGTTGGGCGGCACCGAGATCATCAGGTGGCAGCTTTGAGTGAGCGCTATGACAAATTGAAGGTTAGTCCGACCCGCCTTAAGCCAACCCCTTTCTGCCAGCAAATGTCCTAGAAATAAAAAGTGTATTCACTGCGAGCTCCGTGGCAGGTGACGGCTTTCTCTTCACCTCTGTGATCTGACTTGTTTTCGCATGCTTTTTGGCAGCCTCCATGTTACACAATCAGGGCATCTTGTAAAAGGTGACTGCTGCTTGTCATGTTAGCGTTGTCAAGGTGAGGGTGAATTCGAAAAATCTGGATCGTTTTCAATCCTTGCAGTTGAGAGAGACAGACAGACAGAGAGACGGAGGGAGAGGGAGCCAGAGAAAGATTTGAGCGAGATCAAGAAGGAATGGCAGATAAAATCTGGCTTCGGGCACTTTGGGGGCATTTCTTTTCCTCAGTCATCAGGGAAAACTAATTTCACTCGCATTGTACCTGGATCTAGTTACCACACAAACAAAAGACTAGAAGGAGGAATGCCTGCAGCCAAGGTGGGATTTGAGGGGACATGTGACCTTCTGTTCCCGGGGGAAATGCTAGCCAGCTTATTGGGGAACAGAGCGCTCTGACCATCTCGGGTTTCACGAAAGAATTCCTTTTCGTGCAGGCTTTTTATTCGGGGAGGTTACAGGCAAGACTGTTTGAACTTCACTTTGAACATGAAATTATTAACTTAACTGCAGCTCGGGGAATGATAATTAATAGGACTATACGTCAAATTTAAAAAAAATCTCTCTCTCTAAATATGGAGAGAATGCACCAGGGAGGGAAGAAGCCAGGTCTCCAGATGTCTGTTCAACTTCAGACGACGGGTGGGTCTAATTATTGCAACCTCGGCCGAGAGAGTGTGCTCGGATAGTGAGATACTGTGTTCACCAGCTAATTTGAGTTCACAAGACGTCAATTAAAAGGAAAGGAAGCATCAATTAAGAGCTTTAAGTAAATATATATTGAAGTCCTTCCTCTCGGGAAAAACACACACGGTTCTGTTGAGCAAACAAAAAATGAATCACGTGATCATAAGAGCTTTACCCCTCAGCGCACATCGTCACCTTTCCCAAATGGTTCCTATCACTTCTCAGCGCCCGTGGATGCTTGCGTGGCCCGGGACCTCACAGTTTATTTTGTGAAGCTAGCATTAACGGACCACATCTGTGATTTGGTTTGGTTATTTCTTGTTGTGATGAGGGAAGCTGATAGGCTGAAATGAATCCCCGCGCCAAATGTCACTTGGGGAACGATAGCATCACCTGGGCAGCGTGCCTCACTTAAAGTGTCCAATGACGACTGGTGCAAATCCATCTTTAAACATGGAGGGGAAGTTAAGCCCAAGGATTTAGTGATACAGACAAGGGAAGACAGATATGACTGGGTTTCTAGTGCGGTGCAGGGCAGCAGCCAGAAACATGACAAAGGTTAATAACAGCAAAGGCGATGCATGTGTGAATTGTGCCTCTAAAGCAAATTCTTCAGAAATGGATATGGCTGTCAGATTTGAGAAACCAAGATGATCTCCCCCAACCCCCTATTTGATTGGGGACAAAATGTTTAGGATGATAAAAAAATGTCCCTTGGGTTGGATCAACACTGCCTTTTAATGATCATTTGTTAAAATGCCATGATGATGTTCGCTAGTGGACAACTCCAGATTTTGTTTTTATATTTTATTGACTTTTTACAGAGAGGAAGGGAGAGGGATAGAGAGTTAGAAACATCGATCAGCTGCCTCCTGCACACTCCCTATTGGGGATGTGCCCGCAACCAAGGTACGTGCCCTTGACCGGAATCGAACCTGGGACCCTTGAGTCCGCAGGCTGATGCTCTATCCACTGAGCCAAACCGGTTAGGGCAACAACTCCAGATTTGATATTTTAACCTGGAAGTCAGGTTTTCCTCTTGTAAGCTGTCACAGGGAAGTTATTGATTATGTATATGACATCTTCAAATTTATGAGGCGATACTGTCATGCTCTATCCCTTTATGTGATGAAAATGAAACTCTTCAATTATGAGCCCCGCGCACTCGTCTAATCAAGCTGGTGGGTTAACGGTTGTTGATACTGTCACCCGGAGGGCCTGCCAATTAACGATGTAGTATATATTACCTTCTAATTACAGAAATATATGCATATAAACAGCACCCAGTGCACCAACACACATTTACAGCTGCTCAACAAAATATACTTATGAACATTTATTTACAGCCATTTCACAAAATAAGCTTATAAGCATTTATTTATTTTTTTTTAATTTCTTTATTGGTTAAGGTTAAGCTTATAAGCATTTAAACAAATAACATGCTAGCATAGCATGTTTGTTCTAAAACATGCCACTTATGTTAGAATAGAAGAATCCTAAGCGTATATGGCATTTGGGTGTCTATGGTATTTTAGTTATCACATATTTATGAACATAAGTACTTCCTTGCTTTTTAAAAACCTCAGTACAATATAAACATTGATTTTAAAAAAATCTTTATTATTGAAAGTAACAGCATCCAAAAAAAAGACCAAAACCAAGGAAGTGTATTTTTGTTCATTATTACTTTGGTCTGGAAAAGTAAATGCATCTGTAAGTGTTGTTTTCTGAGACTTGAGCATCTCATACAGAAATGGGTTTGTGATGATGCGAAGACACAAATAGAGTGTGGAGAAAGCCCTGGCTGGGTGGCTCAGTTGGTGGAGCATCATCCCACACGCCAAAAGATTACAAGTTTGATTCCTGGTGAGTTCACATACCTAGGTTTCGGGTTCCATCCACATAGTCGGGGTGTGTCTGGGGGGAAACGGATCGATATTTCTCTCACATTGATGTTTCCGTCCTCTTCCTTCCTCTCTCTTTAAAAAATTAATTTAAAAAAGTCCTCTGGTGAGGATTAAAAACAAAGAGAAAGTATAGAGAAATTAAGAGGATGCTTTCATTGATAAGATGATAGATCTGCTTTACTGATTTCAGATATATAAGGACTTAGGTGTCCCCTGCTGGAAATGGTTTTTGTCCTTCTGTTAATAAAAGTCCATTATTTGAAGAGGGGAATTCTGCTATGATTGTGAAGAATGATCATTTCTTGTAACAGCACTAAATTTTTGGGGACTTTTTACTCCTATTAGGTCTCAGTATACATGCATTTATATACGGAATTGGCATACATTTTTACAATTTTTTTCTAGGCGTAAAAGAAAAAAAAACCCATAAAAATTCCAACATATAGAATTCATGCAAATAAAATCTTTCACATCATCTGAAATAGCATCATGTCAGTAATCTAATGCTTTCAGAGGCTGTGCACTGGAAAGCACTCATAAAGGATTGAAGCAAAGAGAAAGTTAACCCAGCATTTCCTGAGCTGTATTCTAAGATTAAAAGGAGGAAAGTCTCCCTGCCAAATGAAAAAGCCTCTAAAATGGAGCATCTCATAAGGTGGACCTTTCCCCGTCATTTTAATTGCATTTTGAGAAGGCTGTCAGTCCCGCAAACTTGGATTAAGAGTTTGGTTTGTGAACCACATAACATATAAGAGAATTTAATAGAGTGCATTCCAGAGATTTTAAGGAATGACAATGCAGTCATTCTTTTTCTTCTGTTCCAACAGACAGTGTTGGAGCTCTTGTTGCTTTTCTCCGGTTACACCTATAAAAATACACAAACTGAGAAAGGTTGACCTTTCCTTGCCCTTCAATTTCAGCATAGCCCCACTTCAAGGTCGATGACGCTGAAGTTCCAAATGATGGCCTTGCTATTCTGACTCGAAAAGTTGGCTGCGGGAGTGTGTTTGTACAATGCTTGCTTCAATGGATCATCCCATTGGAATGTCGTCATCGTTTGATAGCGGTTCCTCAGAATGCTATAACTCATTGCTTCTTTGAAAATAGCAGCAGGTATAGTGCAGGTTCCAGTGAAAGGTGTGTGCGTGGTGCAGGGAGTGGCCGGAAGCCAGGGATGCTGCTACCTCTTACAATGTGCAGGTCGGATCTCCACCACATAGAATTATCTGGCCCCAAATATCAATAGGGCCCAGGCTGAGGAATTCTCGTCTGTGAGAAGAATTCAGTGTTTATCGGTGTATTAATTAGCCAGGGCTGCAATAACAAGGACCACAAACTAGGTGGCCTAGATGACAGAAATGTATTGTCTCGCAGTTCTGTAGGCCAGAAGTCCGAAAATCAAGGTGTCAGCAGGGTTGATTCCTTCTGAGGACTGTAAGGAGGGATGTGTTCCAGACTTTTCTCCATCGGTTATAGTGGCTGTCATCTCCCTGTGTCTCATCACCTGGCATTCTCCCTGTGTGCTTGTCTTTGTGTCTAAATTTCCCCTTTTTATAAGGACACCAGTCATATTGGATTAAGGGCCTACTCTACTGTAGTATGACCTCCTGATAACTAAGTATATCTGCAATGAACCTATTCCTAAATAAGGTCCCATTCTGAAGTATTAGGGGTTAGGACTTCAACAAGTGAATTTCGGGGGAGCCACAATTTAACCTACAACAGTCACTCCAGTGCGCACCCAGTTATCTAGTCAAATGAACACATGTTATGTCTCTTTCAAGGATTTAATCACCTCAAGTGAGGCAGAGACCTTTGGCTCACAATCTCATCACTCACCTAAGACTGAACACAGGGTCTTGTAGATAATTCTCAATAAATATTTGTCAGCTGCTTCATTAATCATCAGCTGTTAACCCTACATGGAAGTTTAAATTAAATTCATAATGACATTGCAGATATTCATTCAGATATTTGACAAAGCATCTGTAAGATGATTTCTAAATAAGAGCGGAGCCAGACATTATATTTTATCCAATTGGATGTGAACCATTATTTTGGTCTGTGTTGCATTTTGTTGGCTTACATTTAATGGTGTGAATTTGGATAAAGCTATCTCAAATAACTGTAGAATTCACATTTGTTTCATGCTGATATATGATGGACACTTGATAGCCCCATTATACATATTGTTTCATTTATCCTCCCAACAACCATATCTGGCATATAGGTTTTTTTGAGATCATGAAAATATA